ATACAAAAGAGGCTTCCATTTTTGAAAGTTAAATTACAGAGAAAGAAAAACTTTTTCAAGCATAGGCACTGATTCAGATATTTTTGCATTAATTAATATTACAAGCTTTTGTTTACTGTGAAAAAGTTTATTTGAAGGAAAAATACTATTCCTTCTGATGCCTTTTGTACTGTCAGCATTCTTAATTCCATGTCATTCCTGGGGAAGGGTAAGAAGGCAGCAGTAGGCAGCCTCCATATCTGGCAATATGGAAGCTTAATTTAAAAAAATATACTTTTACCAAAGATAGTGTTTGGAAACTATGAGAGTAGTCATGCCTGAGAGAAGAGAGAGAAATCCCTGATGTGGCATAAGTTCCTGCAGGGAGTATCCAAAGTGCAGGGCTGGGTTCAGCCAGATGACTCACTTCTAGCTGAGTACTAGAAGCATTTCCCTTCACAGTTTGCTCTGAAACACATTCTCAGTTATTTTTGTGTACCTTTGAAAAAATTCTCCCTGTACACAGGAGCTGTTGAACTTGGATTTTTAAAGCCCAAAAACAAGCTCCTTATTGATGGTGAAGTCAGGGTGCTTCTGGGAGCAGAGGCTTTTTCATAACCAGGAGGCCTTCCCTCTTTTAATGAGTCATGCTTTGTTTAGAAAAGAAAAGAAAAGAAAAGAAAAAAAAAGACAAAAATAAAGAAGAAAAGAAAAAAGGACAACGACTGTGACATTTCTTTGTGACAGGATTAGTGGACTTCAGAAAAATGTTGACTAGTGTCAGAATTAGTGGCAGAAGTGTCTTGAGACAGAAGTGGGTGTCATTTTGCTGCTTGAAGAGTGGGTAGCCCTGTGAGTGGTGGCTGATCTTGCTTTTCCATCCAAGTGGGATAGGAAGTTGTCTTCTAAGGTGTTCCAGGCCATACAAGATTTTCTGTTGGTTTGAATTTTTTGTTTTGGTAGATACTGTTTTAGATCAGGGAGCTGAAGTTGAAGATGGCAATAAAAACCTAACATATAAATAGCAGTGAAACAAGCAGCTATACTAACCTCTGCTTTCAGTTACAGTAACAGAAACTTGAGGAAGCTTTGCTGACAACTTCTTCATACAAGTGTGGGTAGAATTTGGCTCAGCAGTCAACTCCTTAATAATTTAATTTTTTAGAGTCTGCAACTAATTCTGCTCACATATGCAGTTTTTTTTTAATGCTGTATATTGGTTTGGAAATAATATTGAGATATCTTCCTGCTCTGAATTTTTAAGCCATTGTTGGACAGCTGTATATGTTACTATTCAGCTTGTATATGTTACTAAAGAAATACCCAAATACTGGTAATGATCCCAAAAACTCAAGTGAGATTATTGAATACTCCTTGTGCATGTTAGAAGTCAGTTCACACTACAACATGATGAAAAACTACTGAAGCAGTAGGGCAGGTGTCTTGTCATTGTAAATAAACTTTAAAAGCAGGGTCCACTGATTTGGAGATGGGGTTGTTCACAGTTTCAGACCAACAAAGTCTTGCTTATGAAAATTTTGTTTGAGCTCTGCGATGCATCTGGAGCTACTGATAGGAAGTGTAATATAAAATCAACTTTAATATTGAATTTCCTAATCTAAAGGGATTGTGGTTGTTTGACATGGGACTATAAGTTCATGGAAGAAAACATGGAAAGGTATTTGTATACATGTATATTTTACATTCTTATTTTAAAATTGCCTTGCTTAAAGGTTGGTAATGACTTTTATTGACCCACTCTGATGTTCCTTTTGGTGAGATAGTTAAGATGCATCTCCAAATAATAACGAGGAATATGGCTTGCGTGCTTATGTAATATAATAGGTGTGTTATTTTACTTAAAAGCACATAAAAGGAAATATGAACATCCACAAATGCCTTGAGAGGTCTTGTCTGGTTTTGGCTTTGTTAGCATTTCTCACCTAAGCATTTAAAGGCAAATCAGCAGCTGTTAAAAAAGGCTAAATACCTCCAAAGAAAGAGATGGATTAGAAAACTGAATTAGTTAATAAGAGTCTCGTTGAGCTTCGGAAGGTTTAAAAACTGGGTCAATAGGTGACATATCCTTTTTTGTTCTATTTAAGAAAGATAGATAAGCTGACACATCAGAAGTTACTAGTCATACAAAGCAGATAGAGGGCAGATAGAAATAATACTTTTTGCAGGGTTTTGGAGGCCGTCTGGGCTATTTGTCATTGTGTCTGTTTTGTGCTTTTCTTTGACTGTAGATTCACAAGTAAAAGATAGTAAAATTGTCCTTGCTGGGAAACAACAGGCAGTCATATGCAGCATTTACCAACTCATGCTGTTCTGATCTGCATGTTACCAATTCACTGAGTATTCAGTCACCCTCATTAAGAAATTATTTCTTCTTAAATTTATAAATGTTGCTTAACAACCTGAAAGCAGTAACTCTCACTTTTGAACTGACTTTGCTTTCGGAATGTTGACAACATTTTAAAATGTTTATAAGATTTAAAAATTGGTTCAAGGTGAGCCAATCTAGGGTTTGCTAAGAAACAACTCTCCTTAAAAAACAAGCAAACAAACAAACAAAAACCCCACAATTTTTCATATTGAAGGCTAGGGCAGCAGTTCTTTGAGACGACCTGGTGGCTGCACAGCTACCCACTGGAGGTAAAAAGCCCCCAGAAGGGCTGGGCCATCAAGGAAGGAGAAAGCAACAATTCTTATTCTTTGCATGTTTTTCTACTGCTGATCGGCACAAAACGTTTTTATTTGAAGATTTTCTAGTAACTCTCCAGCCTGCATAATGCCCCCATTCACAGGAGTTGCAGAGAAGACAGAGCAAGTGTGGCAGTGCAGCCAGAGCTGCTCCATGACTGGGTTACTCGGGCTGCCCTTGCCTTGAGCTCTGCCAGGGGTGGGGGAACAGCAAAATCCTGTTCCTGGGTAGAGGAGTGCCCCCCTGATGGAGGCATGCTGCTAGCTCTTTGAGTGTTAGAAGAACTGAGGTAGAGCAAACTTAGCTGTTAGATAGCATTGACATGCAGTGATGGAAAAAAGGACTGTATCTTTAACAATGGAAAGGATGTAAATGGCTGCATCATAGTTGCCTGGTCAAAGAAATTACAGCTGATATTACAGCAAAAAATCCAGCCCCTCAAAACCTGCATTTTCTTAGTACATGCTAGGCACTATCTTGAACTGGTGCAAAACCCCACCACATTTAATATATATATTTTCAAAGGTAAGCCAGTAAAATGTAAATTCCATTCACAAAAATACAGAAGTAAAAATTAGAATTTCCCTGCCAGCAAGTATTCAGCTTCTCACATGTCTGTAATATGTCATATAGCTTTGTATGAGGTTTTTCCTTTTAGAAGTTATGCTATTTAATATATGTATGTATGTATACATGTGTATGTTATATGTATGCATGTATATGTTCTGATTTCATAATTTAGATGACACTTGTAATGCATATCATTTAAACTCCTTGCAATGGAAGTCACAACTCTTATTCCACAGTACAGTGCTCTGTTGTAATAGCTTATTTTCTTATTGAAACTTGCTTTACCAAAATCAGTAGTAATGGTATTTCTTTTGATGAACCAAATTTAAATTTGATGGCATCATGAATATCACAAGCTCCCTCTAATTTAAAGGGTTAATAAAATATGAACTCTATGTTCATAATTTTTGGTGGGTGATTTTTCAAATACTTTTATCACAGCTGAAATTCTGTCTAGTATTTTATTTTACCAGCTTTTTATTATTTCCTCTTACCATTATGGTTGTTTAAAAATGGAAACACTTGCCTTTTAAGTTTGCTTTCTCTTCTCATCTGGTTCTCTCATGTCTATCCACACTCGGAACTGGAGTAAGCGAATCTTGTATATGCAGCTCAAGCAAAGTGAAATTGTCAGTTTATTCAGCTAGGGAAGACTGGGATAAATTGTTTCATTCTCACCTAAAAGTGTTTAAGCCTTCTGTGCATTTTATATTTTGTGGTTTCAGCATAGTTAGGTCTCATTACCATCTTCTAAGGAGTAATTTTAGCAATCTATAAGGCAAGTTTAAGCATAGTTCCCAAACTTGGTTTTGAAGCCAGAGTAAATGAGGTGTTGTAGTGCCACATTCCAGTGATTCTGACATCAGAGGAATATCTGCAGTAATAGATTTTTATATTAAAGCATCTGAATTTTTATATGCTTGCAAGAAGTAAGACTGGGGTCTGACGCTGACATTAAGAAGCATTAAGCTAACCATTCAAGACACTAACAAATTTTTTCATTAAAGCTTTTTTCCCCTCTGGGAAGAAAAAAAAAAAAAAAAAGCAAGATACATTTTACAAAAATCAAATGTTATTTTTAAAAAGGCTCAATAAAACTAATTATTTTATTTTGTTTAGTGTTTATTATTGTTTCAGGTTTCTTGATATTCTGCTGCAGTCTGTGGAGATGTCTTTTTGTGAATTAAGGAGTGAGAATTATGCTAAAAGTTATCTGTGCACTGACATACAACAAATCAAAACCCCAAAGTATTTTGAAATATTTACACAAATAGACTTGTATCTAATGTATGTTGTAGATATTTGAATACAAAACATTCAGTATTCATCACATTTCCAGCATTATTGGCAAATGTTTCTGAGCTTTTCATTCTGGGAAAAATACTTTTAAAAAACTTGTAAAGATTCATACCAGGAAACTGGATTTAGGCACAGATAGCAGAGTAGGACCACACCACCATGGCCTTTTGTGGCTGTGCTGGACTTTGCCAGATAGAAAGAAATTAACTTTCTGCTGTTGTTGTCTCTCTTTGTGGTGGCAAGGGAAGACAGGGAAAAGCTGCTGATGAATGTGCTGTGTTTGAGCTGATCATCTTGTGCCATCCCTCGATTTTAAGAGGAAAAAGAGTTTGGTGCAATGTCTTACAATGCAGAGTACATTTTTTTTTCCTAGTTGTAATAACAATTACATGTTTTATAGTATTGATCTTTTTAAATTAAGAGTCTTCATCTTGTTTTCTTTCAGATTCTTCTAATTCTTTTCATCGAGATGAGACTATAGTTATTGCCCTTGCATCTGTGTCTGTACTGGCTGTTTTGATTGCTGCTCTGTTCTTTGGATACAGGATGCTTGCAGGTAGGACTTGATGACCCTATTTTTTTTTTAATTGTTCTTTGGCTATTTTTCAAATTTGTGTCTTCTGTTCTCCCCAGTCCCTATTACAGGATTTGTACATAATGCTCCCCTTCCTCCTCTCTGATGCTTTATTGTGATACCCCTTTCATAACAGTCCAGTGAGATTTCTTCAAGCTGGCATTTTGGGACCCATTTTTCTTCAACAAATCCTCTGCTCAGCACAGCTAAAGTGAGGTTGTGAACATGCTTTAATAGTTACTGGCAGTGGCACCCAATTATCAAAATAGTTGTGTAGAAGATAGCTTTAAGTCTGTAGCTATCAGCTACCTTCACTGCTGATTTTACTAACTCTGAGAAGATTTTACAGGACTTCCTTTAATTTGCTATGTCCTTGCCTACCATGTGTGTTTCTGCCAAGTCCCAGGTAAGTTGTATTGTGTTCACTTGTAGCATGGCAAAAAAATGAGACTCTGATTCCTTCCCTAACCCCTTCCACAGGAGACCGTAAGCAAGGTTTGCACAGTATGAACATGATGGAGGCAGCAACATCAGAGCCCTCATTGGATCTGGATAATCTGAAGTTGTTGGAGGTAAATGTTCAACTCTATTTTTTAATCTTCATTTATATTCAGTATAACACTTGTGGTCATATCAGCTCCCCCGTATAGTTAGAGAAAGAAATGTATCGGTGCCCTTGTAGTACTTTCTTCTAAATCACAGTTCAAAGAAGAAAAGAAAAAAAAAAAGAGTTACTCCAGTAACTAGTGTTTAGTATTTTCTTCCCAAGGTAGAACATGTTCTAGGTAACACCAAAAACATAGCTAACAAAACCAGGCAGGTAATGGGGGAAATCAAAATGTGTATTTCAGCATTGCATCAAAAGATCCATCTTTTTGTGTGACACTGCTTTACATACAGTATCCTACTGTAGTAATTTGAAATGCTTTAGTAACACTTGGAATATAGGATTTACTGCAGATAGCACAGAATATTTCAGTGGTGGTGCATTTACATAGAGTCATTCTTCGCAGTGGGGTTCTCTCTATCTCCATGGCAACTAGAAGCCAACCAGAACTTTCTACTCAGCTTGGTATTAGATGTATCATAAAAAAACTGCAAGATGTTATGCTTTTAATTGGTATGCTCGATAGAACTTACATGGAATTTTTAAATGCCTTTAGCCAGAAATAAATCAGTAGAATGACTGAGAGAGATTCAGAAAGTGGTACTTTTATTCTTTTTGCCCATTAGAAATCACACCTAGAGATGCAGGCTGCAGATGCAGTATGATCTGGGCTAATGGTGACAGCAAACTAATCAGCAAAGACGACTGGATGCCTTCTGCCAACAAAAAAGTACTTGAGGCAGAGTTTGCAAGAATATAAGGATGCACATTGTAGAAGTGTGCAAAGCCCCAGAATTACTCATACTGATATACAGTCTTGGAAAAAGCAGTGACTTTGGTGGTGGAGAGATCGCTATAGGGTCTTCTGTCCTTTTTCTCAAATCCTAAGAAGCTGAGTCCTCACCTCTAGTCACAGGGTGTTGAAGAACAAATTGTCTTAACCTGTGCTTGCCTTTTCACATCTCTATGGGTAGAATACATTCTGGGTTTGTACCTTAAAGGGCCTCTTTGCCACTTAACAATCCACTAGGAGGACTGTCTGATGTCATACCTAATATGATATGACCTACCTGATATGATCTCCTAAACCTAAAATGTATAGCTTAACATCTGTCATCTCTGGAGTTAATTAAAATTAATCACATAAAAACTCTAAGTGTTTAGTAGATAAAATTTAATAGAATTAGTAGCACAACATACATGGATTTTATTGATTCTGTATGTAAAATGGCTGAATAGTTTATTTGTGATTCATTTACTGAGTGTTCAGACTACAGATCAATTTAGAAAGATCTAGGTTGGCATATACTGAAGTTTCCAGTTCCAAAGTAGCTTTTATGACTGCATTTTAATTCTGGTTTTCAATGCAAAATATTCACTATACGATTTTTTACAGTGTAAGTCAGTATAAACGTCACCATACAATCTTTGCAGAGTGAAAATTGGGATTTTGTGTTAATTTATTATTTAGTGAACTAATTATTTGCATTTTTCTGCAGTTGATTGGCCGGGGACGATATGGAGCAGTGTATAAAGGCTCCCTAGATGAACGTCCGGTTGCTGTGAAAGTGTTTTCTTTTGCTAATCGTCAGAACTTTGTCAATGAGAGGAATATTTACAGGATTCCACTGATGGAACATGACAACGTTGCCCGCTTCATTGTAGGGGATGAGAGATTCACTGCTGATGGCCGAATGGAATATTTATTGGTGATGGAATATTACCCCAATGTAAGTGCTTCAAAGAAATGAATCAGATTGGTTTAGATTCCTAAGAATAGCCACATGAAAAGGATGTACTTCAGTATTTGCCAGTGTTTTTCATTGCTGCTTCTTGCACAATAATGTAAAAATAATCCATTACAATTTCAATTAACCTTACTGTGGTTTACTTGTGATATGCTTTAAGATTCCCAGTTCATGCTACCAAATGTAGTCTTACAAATTCTTGGCTGTACTATTTCCTCTTGGTTATAATGCAGGTTTTTTTAGTCAACTGTGCAATACTCAAGGACAGAATTTGAGGAATTGTTTTTCCTTTAATATAATACATTTAAAACCTCTTAGCATTTTGGTACTATACTTCAGTTATTGTGTCAATGTCCTCATTTGGTAGCTGTACATATTGGGTTTTTTACAATGAAACATAATAGATCCAGTATCACTGTCAGGTGTGGTACTATAAATCATGTTACTTTTTAATCTTATTTTCTTTGAAGTTTTCTGTGGCATACCATATTTATTTTGCTGTACCATATGATGATGTAGGAGAGGTCTGAAGAAGGCAGCCTTACTTTCCAGAACTGTATCTTCAATCTTCTTAGCTAACGGAATGCTTAATCTCTCAAATTTCTTGGTTTGAGTTCCTAATGCTCTGTGTGTGTGAGATATGCATGCATAGAAAAAAAGATATTTTAAAAATACACAGCATAAATGTGAATTGCTTTCATGAAAAATAATAAAGTATCATTTATATGGGGAGATTACATACATGAAAATGAAAAAAATTACGTTTTGCAATTTGTCTTTTGGGGGGGGGGTTCTGTATGGCAAAGGAATAGCTTCTCAGTTAAATTATTTTTTAATGGGCTTTTTGGTCTCAAGTAAGCAAACTCATGTGTAGTGTGTGAAGGTGATGGCTGGATCCTGATTCGTTTTGGGGACAGAAGGACAAAAGCTGCTTATTTGAGTAACAAAATAAACATAACATTATAAGTAGCAGTAACGATGGCCTCTCTTTTAGGATGGTTGAGGCCCTAGATACGTAATTTGTTTTTAAATTTAAATGCATACATGTATATAAATATCTAAATATATTTGCAAATTAAGGGGACATAGCACTTCACAAGTGCATAAAGAATTAACTCACTTCTGAGTGAGAACACACTTGATCATACCAGCTTGTAAGAGGTAGGCATCTAGGAAGAGATTGCAGAGAATACGAATGACCATTGAAAATCTCAGTTCTGCCCTTACTAGATGGAGAGTGGCAAAGCATATCTGCTCTGGCCTGCTCTAGAAGAGTAGGCTTATTTTCAACTAATTGAGTTAGGTGAAATCAAGCAAGTATTTGGCTTCTGGGAGGGCATAGTGTAACTGTCTTAACAGTGATCTGGTTTTGCTGTTTTCTCAAATGAAAGGATTTTCAGCTGAAATGTAATTTGATTGAAAATTGTGTCTTGTTGCTTATATAAACAGGATCTGTTAACAATCTGATTAAATGCACAGATGAGGCTTATAACATCATTATCAGATTCTTTTTCAATATGGTATTAAGAACAGCAAGATTAGTCTAAAATCAATCCGCTGGTGGTTTGGAAGTTATTGGAAAAAGTACACAGCATGTGTAATTAATGCACAGTGTGATCCTTAATTCAGTGAGCATATGTTCTCCTGTGTGTGGAGCTAACAGCAGAGAAGGAACCTTGCTGTGGCAGCTCTGCTAAAATGGAATTGCACTGTTCATAATGGACCCATAAATCTCACTTCAGTAAGGAGTAACCCATATAAGATATTCAGGTGAAATACTCCACATCAAAAACATCATTCTCCCTTGAAATCATTCCTCCTTGGAAATAGGAACACACAAACCAGGAAATTTTCACACAGAAAATGGTTCTTGGTGTTGTCTCTGTGAAACCAAGACCAGATAGGTTTGATCCAAATTGTGTTATTATCCAAACATGCCTTCAGACCAAAGAAAGTAGGTGAGCAATTAATAAAAGGAAAGATACATGTATCTATTAATTAACATGCTGTTGTCATGGTACTCTGAGGTGGGCAGGTGAATAAGCAGGTAAGTTGTAAGGGATGATGTCATAGGAAATAAGTAATAGCCGTAGGATTGTCCCCACAGTAGTCAGACATTCGTGTCTTTTTACAATAGAAAAAGTGTTGTAAAACACATACTAGAATCTTATTATTGTTAAAACAAAAACATGAATTTAATAAAAAGTTATAATCAGAACTGATGTCCCCAATTTAACATGTAACTTGTGACTCTGACAAGAATAATCTTATTACAAATTTATATATCTCTCTAAATCTTGACCAAAACTTTTTGTAGTTGTCATTTACACTGAACTTCACTAAAAGCATAAAATCAAAACCCTCAGCTAGCTTAAAAAATATCTGATGGCTAGCAAGCTCTGCAGCAGAATGGTCTTGAAGTTGGTTTTAGGTTTTTATACAGTGAGCGTCTCCCAGTCACACTGTGGCTGGGCTGGAATCTCAACCCCCAAGGCCAAGAAAATTGTAACTGCACCCAAGTTGCTGGCACTTGGAAGCTAATAAGAGTGTGTGTATTCTAAAAAAAAGCTTTAAAGGGGAGTTCTAGACTTTTTTTTTCAGTTCTAGGTGGACTATCAGGGTTGGTTTTGTGTGTTTGCTTGGGTTTTTTAGTTACCAAAATCTATTTGAAGTTCATGTAGCAGCATGTTAATGAAAAAGAATGCTTCTGTGAACCTGTTTGAGTGACATTTTGTCTGTGTTTTTACTAAAGAGATTATGTGTTTATGGTTTCCTTGTTCTGTACAGGCTGTCTGAAAAGTGGTAGGATTCAGTAATTCTCTTTAAGGAGTGTCAAGAACTTAGTTTTACTTCTAGTATTAAAAAAATGTCTAGTGATTCAGTCATTTTAAATTACTGTTTCCGTGTGCCTCCATCTGAGCTGTGCATACATCATGCACCTGAAAGTTGACTCTAAATACATTCAAATGGCACATACCAGATGTCTTTGAACCACATGTTCATAGAATCATAGAATGGTTAGGATTGGAAGGGACCTTAAAGATCACCTAGTTCCAACCCCCATCCATGGACAAGGACATCTCCCACTACATCAGGTTGCTCAAAGCCCCATCCTTGAACACCTCCAGGGATGGGGCTTCCACAACTTCCCTGGGCAATCTGTTCCAATGTCTCACCACCCTCATAGTAAAAAAATTCCTCCTAATATCTAACCTACATTTCCCCTCTTCCAATTTTGATCCATTACCTCTTGTCTTCTCACTACAAGACCTTGAAAAAAGTCCCTCCCCAACTTTCCTGTAGGCCCTCTTCAGGTATTGAAAGGTCACTGTGATGTCCCCCCAGAGCCTTCTCTTCTCCAGGCTGAACAATCTCAACTCTCTCAGCCTGTCCTCATAGGAGAGGTGCTCTAGCCCTTGGATGATCTTCATGGTCCTTCTCAGGACTTTCTCCAAGAGTTCCATGTCCTTCTTACGTGGGGGCCTCCAGAGCTGCATGCAGTACTCCAGGTGGGGTCTCATGAGAGCCAAGTAAAGGGGGAGAATCACCTCCCTTGACCTGCTGGCCACACTTCTTTTGTTGCAGCCCAGGGCACAGTTGGCTTTCTGGGCTGCAAGCACATGTTGCTGGCTTCTGATGAGCTTCTTGTCCATCATCACCCCTAAGTCCTTCTCCTCTGGACTGTTTTTGATCCATTCTGCCCCAGCCTTTATTTGTGCTTGGGATTGCCCTGACCCAGGTGCAGGGCCTTGCACGTGGCTTGTTGAACTTCACAAGGTTATCATGGGCTCACCTCTCCAGCCTGTTAGGGTTCCTCTGAATGGCATCCCTTCCCTCCAGGGTGTCAACCACACTACACAATTTGGTGTCATTGCAGACTTGCTGAGGGTGCACTCTATTTCCCTGTCCCTATTGCCACCACAAATTACTAAAAAATCCCCCATTTTTCACTTTCAACCTCCTTTCAATAAAAGGGGAACGTTACATTAGTTTTTCTTGTTTCTTCAGTGTGTGTGGACTCACTCCTATTCTCAATTGCCTTTAGTTTTTTTTTGTTTTGATGTATAAATAGATTATAGCAGGGAAGATGCCAGTGAGAGATGCTGAGTATTCTTCTCTAAGTCTAATGATTTAAAGACCACTATTTAGTAGCCCAGGCTATTATGTCATCTTCTGTTGCTCAACAAGACTTTTGGAAGAATGAAACAAGTGCATGCTATGCTTTTGTAAATTAATATAATTATTCCTAAGGACAGTCCCTGTTATTTTGTGATAAATCTTCTGTTCTGCTTCTTCAGATAAACCAAATGGCAGCACTAGAAATCAATGAAACTATGGTCCAGTCTTAATGTTGTAGAACATCTGGGTCAATACAGAAGCAGCTGCAGGATTCTGCCTTTCAGGAGCAATGGGTGAAACCAACTCTCATAAAGATTTTAAGTGGTTTTTGTTTTGTTTGTTTTTAGGGTTCTCTGTGTAAATATTTGAGTCTTCATACAAGTGACTGGGTGAGCTCCTGTCGTTTGGCACACTCTATAACAAGGGGCTTGGCGTACCTGCATACCGAGCTACCTCGAGGAGGTAAGGCCAGGAAGGGATGCCAAAGTGTTCAAGATGCTCTTACTTCTATCAGGTAGTAGATTCCTGCCTTTCTTTCTTCTCTGTGACAATACAGTGAGTAGGAAATAATGCATGCAAATAGAGATTACTCAGAACTTCAGATATGTTTTTTCCTTCTGAAAAATCCCATGTTGTGGGCTGTGTCCCATGATACTTCTATGAAAACATGGAGTAGGAGCCAGCAGAGCCCCAGCAGAGAAAGGGAAGAGGAGGAGGCAGAGTTGTGCAGTGCTGCTGTATCATGGCAACAGACTAGTGAAGACCTGAAGCACTGGATGTCTGTGTAGCAGAGAGCAAACAGATGGAGTGTTCTGTTTGTTTTTGCAGTTCAGACACAAATCACCAAAGTAATTGTTAGTTTGTGTGAACGCTATACACAAAAGAGAAATAATGAAATCTTCTAACTCAACTGTAGTTTCATTTATTTCATCTCTTGATTTTTGTCTAAAGGTATGGACCTAGTCTTTGCTGTGTAAAAATGATACTGATGGGCTTTTTAGTGTTTTATTAGAGCACTGGATGTGACAACATGTTGATTTATATCTTTATATCTGCTTGTGTACTTCAGCCAACATTTCAGCAGCTGAAGTATCATGATTCTAAAGCAGATAATCTGAGATATATGCTATGTCAGGCTGCAGAATATGGCCTGGCACCAAAGCGTTAGCTTTTTGGCAGTAAGTAAAAGGGCGGGAACATTAATTCCATGTTAAGGTGCTAATGTTTCAATTAAAATTGCAAACTCTATATCTCAAATGTTAAGCATCAACTCTAGCAGAGAATGATAACTGAAGATGCTGTTAAAATGCAAGGTTGAAAATACCTAAATCAGTATTCCTATGTGCCATTGAAACTGCAGCTGTCATCTTAACTTGATCATTTAGAAATGTGCAGACAGGTGTGTCCATTAGCAGCCAGAAAATGTGTAAACCTTCCGTCATAGAGAAGAGCCAGACATAGGCTGGTCTGTGAATGCTAGGAAGGAACTCATGGAGTAGAATAAATTTTGCTGTAAAACTGGTTCAACAGTGCTGGCTGGTTTACTAACAAAATAAATGGCATATAAACCAGGAACAACTGAGATTATTCTTTGGAAAAGACCAGATCCTTTGCGATATGAACATGTTCAGACTGTCTGGAATAATATTGTCTACATATCTCCTGAATAGGTGCCAATTCCAATCATAATATAAGTAGTTGGTGCTGTATTTGACACAGGAGTGTGGATATGAGAGAGAGCATTTGGAATGACTGTCAGGGCTGTGGCAGCAGGTCTGTTCTTAAGTAAATGATGGTTCCCCTGCCAAAATAATGCTGAAGTATCCCCTGGAAAGAAGCTTGTTTGCAAACACTAAAATCTATATATAGCAGTAGTCCAATATATTGTATAGATAACAGAGGAACTCTGAATGCCAATGTATTTTCTATAGATAGGATACTGTGGTGCTCATTATAAGGAAGCTAAAATGTTAGCTTCTGAAAGATAAGTTGATTTTATGTTTCTAAAAGCTGAGGAGTCATAATGAGGTTCTCTCATTCTGCCAAACAGTAGAACTGCTCAAATAATAACAAGCATTTCTGTATGTCCAAATAGACCATTACAAACCTGCAATATCCCATCGTGACTTGAACAGCCGCAACGTGCTGGTAAAGAATGATGGAACATGTGTAATCAGTGATTTTGGACTCTCCATGAAATTAACTGGAAATAGACTGGTACGCCCAGGTGAGGAAGATAATGCAGCCATTAGTGAGGTAAGTACAGTTGAAGATAAATCAGTGTATAAAGGAAGACAAATTAGTATGGAAGCAACACTGAGAAATAGTTGTTTGTGTTGTTACAAGGTGAATGTTAAGGTGGTACAATCCTGTAAGGGGAATTGCTGCAATGTTGGTGAAAAGTGGCTGGAACCTTGGTAGGAAGAAACTAGTTTTATTCTCAAAACACTCAAAAACATACCTAGCATTTTGATAGATTGGCAGCCCTGGAGACTGAAGTTTTCTGTGTGAGATATGAGAAGATGCAATGTAGGTTTGGTTGCCATGTTGTTTATGATGATGTGGTACAGGTCCCTTCAGTCTTTTAGTGCAAGTATTAACCAAAGACCAAACATTCTTTGGTGGTTTTGGTGCTGCTTTTTCCAAAACAGTGACTTACTGCATTCTACATCCTACAACCATTTTTCTGTGTATCATCTGCAATTTTCTAGACTTTAAATGGATACATCTGGGAGAGTAACTACATGCAGAAAACCATGGCCTAACTGAGAAAGAGCAAGGACAAAATAACAGGGGATGCTTGAAAGAGTACCTTATGGGAAAAGATGAAAGAATGATGGTTGTTTAGGGAAGTAAAGACAGAGACTGGGTCTTTGAATATGTAAACAGCTGCTACAAAGAGGAAGGAATAAACTGTTTGCATTCAGTGTGGGTAGGACAGGAGGTAATGGCATTACATTGTAGGAATAAGAATTTAGGTTAGTTACGAAGAAACCTTTCTAATCTGTAGAAGGTAGCCAAGGTGTGGAATGGACAGCTGAGAAAGGCTGTATAGAATTTGCATAATTCTATGAATTTAAGGAACAGATTGAGAAAACATCTGTTAGGAGTGGGTTAGAATGGATTCTAGGCAGTAAGAAGAAATTGATTTCTTAAGCTTTCTTTTTTATGATGCTGGGATTCAGAGAGGGGATTTTTAATTGTTGTCTTCTTTTTGTGTAAGCATAAATGCATTGACATCTGAATATAGACTACTGAAATAGAGTGAGATATTTTAAACAACGAGTGAAAGTCTAATATTTCAGTGTATCTATCATCTTTGTGCTTTTACAGAAAAACTAAATTTCATTCAGAGTATGTATTTTGTAGAGCTAATCAGCTTCCCTTAGAAATCAAGTGCTATATCAATAATACCTAGTGCACAGGTTCTCTTTATGGATCTCCCCTTACAGAACAAAGAAACAGGGGAACCACTTTTTTAAATGCAGGGTTATGGATTGTCCTGTGACAAAATACTGTCCTACAAGTACTTTTAAGTGATTACTCTAATCTAACACATTTCCTGGTGGAAATGAATAGCTATTTTCCAAGGCTGTTAATAACCTTTGTTCAAGGAAGATGTAGGAGAGCCTTCCTGACAGTCTAGGAATAACAAGAACAACTTCCTTGTTCAGCAGCATCCACTTCCATTATGATACATACCTTAATGTTTAACAGAGTAATTTCAGGAAAAAGAAACATTTCTGCTATACCATGTTGTATACGAGAACACTGAGTAAGGCACAAAATTATTTTGCTTTCATACATAAAAAAAGTGACAGAGTAGGGGAAGGGTTTTATTATGACTAGTCTCCTGATAAGATTCTAGAAGCTGAGGACATTGATTAAAAGAAAACTCAGTTTTCCTTAACTGTAGAAAATGCCCAAAGTAGGGTATTAAAAAAATAATCTCTATAATAAATTGAGTTTGGAAATTGCCTCCTGATTTGAAGTTTTGATTTTATGTTTTCCCAGGTTGGCACAATCCGCTATATGGCCCCCGAAGTCCTTGAAGGAGCGGTGAACTTGAGGGACTGTGAATCTGCTTTGAAACAAGTAGATATGTATGCACTAGGCCTTATCTACTGGGAGATATTTATGAGGTGTACAGACCTCTTCCCAGGTAACTAGAAGAACTGGAAAAAATATTAGTAGTAGAAAATGGTACCAGCAATAAGCCATAGCTTTTTAAAGCGAAGAAGGGAAATAATTTTCTCAATTGTTTTTGGCATTAAGTCGGTGCCATCTAGCGTTCAAGTTTATTGTTGTCAATAGTGTATTTGGGTGTAAAGCATGGCTCATGCTGAAAGACTGTAAGTTACCTGTTTAAGCAGTTTGAAGGCTTCATGGTAAGTGCAATTTGAGTGTTGTTATTATTGTTATTGTTTACAAACACTGAGAGATGGGCTGATGGCAAAGGCAGTACTTTCAGTTCTTAGAAATTATAAATGTGCCTAATGTGTCTTTCAGACTTCCTTTGTGAAAGAATGGATGGGAAAGTGCTGTGACCTTTAGCCAGTTGTACTTTTATTTATGCTAGTGACATTGAAAATTCAGGGAATTCCTCCATATCTGCAACATAAAACGAGGAATTTGACTTTTAAAATCTAACATGTGAGATTGCATCACAAGCACCATCTTCTCACCAAGATAAAGCATATAGAGTTAATCTGGCCTGCAGCATTCCCTCTGTAGTCAAACAGCTGCACTTTGTGTGCAGAGACTTGTAATCTAGCTGTGCTTCTTCCCAAATGATGTACATTAATATATTCAGTTAGCAACATTTCACAGAAATTAGGTGTCATCCTCAGGCTCTAAGACATTCTGAATGTGTCATTAAGCCAGCAAAGTTTGAAGTTGCTGTCCTTTGAGAGGTTGCTGAACAACACTTACTCATTTGCAGTTAATTCAGCTTTTTTTTTTTTTTTTTTTTTTTTTGTGAAGTTAGACTTCAGGGGGGAATGTGGAGAAAATCTTGATAGACAGCAACTTTGATAGTACCTTTCATCACCTGAAAGCCGTTGCTTTGCTTTTTAATCCATTACTGTTTTTCTTTCTTTCTTTTGCTAACAGGGGAATCTGTGCCAGAGTACCAGATGGCTTTCCAGACAGAAGTTGGAAACCATCCCACTTTTGAAGACATGCAAGTCTTGGTGTCTAGAGAGAAGCAAAGACCAAAATTCCCAGAAGCATGGAAGGAGAACAGCCTGGTGAGATACAATTTTTTCAAAGAAACCATAATTTATTTATTTAATGAGCTGTAGGGCATACTCCTCTCTAAAAAGCCATTTTTTAATATGTACTTTATAAAACTTTTGTTAGTATTTAAGGATTGGGAGCTGCTTCTGTCTAGACTTCTTAAATATTTAATTCAGTTTTTAGAAAGCCATTGACAAAAAAGCTAGATTTTCTTTTAAGGAAAAATACTATGATTATTATCAGATACTGAAGTGTAACACACAATAAGACTTGTTACATTAATTGTGAGATATTATCTGTAGTATCATGCATGAAGTGCCTGTATGTACTCTGTGTCCTGGATAAGAAACCTAAAGGCCTTTTCTGACATTTGACATCTTATAATCTAATAACACACTAAAATAGTTAGCAAAACTACAAATACACTCTT